CAACACCCCCCCACGCAGCTCCGGGCTTCACGACGTCCTCCCCGCGCTCACCGCGCACCTCCCGCCCCACACTTATGGGGCCGAGCGCCGCCGCCCGCCCCGCCGCCCCCCCCTCCGCGCGGCCCCACGCGGTGACGCAGCGCCATCCCCGCCCCCCCGGGGTGGGATTCCCCGCCCCCCCTCCTCCTCCACCCCGCCTATAAGCGAAGCGCTCCGCCGCGCCGCGCAGCGCTTTGGGTCGGAGCCCACGCGGGACGCAGCGCTGCTCCGTGGGACCCCCGCGCTCCTCCGTGGGACCCCCGCGCTCCTCCGTGGGACCCCGGCACCCCGCCGCCGCGACCCCGCCGTCCCCACCGTCCCGTCTGCCCTCCGCTGACCCCCAGCGGCTCCGCCGGCCCCGACGTCTCACCTTTGCCGTCCTCCGACCCCCCCGCCCGCCGCCAGGGTCCCTCGGAGCCCCGCCGACCCCCGGCGTTCCGCCCCGCCGGTTCTCCTTCGCCCTCCGCCGACCCTCGGAGCCGCGCCGACCCCCGCGGTCCCGTCCGCGGTCCCGTCCGCGCCGTCCGCCGACCCCCGGCTTCTCGTTTTCGCACCGCCTCGACCCCGTCCCCGCCGCCCCCCCGCCGCCATGTCCACCCCGTCCCAACGGAGGAGCGGCCGCGGCGGCGGCCCTTCGGGGACCCCCCTGTCCCCGACGCGCATCACTCGGCTGCAGGAGAAGGAGGACCTCCAGGAGCTGAACGACCGCCTGGCCGTTTATATCGACAAAGTGCGCTCCTTGGAGCTGGAGAACGCCGGGCTGCGGCTGCGCATCACCGAGTCCGAGGAGGTGGTGAGCCGGGAGGTGTCGGGCATCAAGGCCGCCTACGAGTCCGAGCTGGCGGACGCGAGGAAGACGCTGGACTCGGTGGCGAAGGAGCGGGCGAGGCTGCAGCTGGAGCTGAGCAAAGTGAGGGAGGAGCACAAGGAGCTGAAGGCCAGGTGGGGCTGCGGGGCCGGGCGGCGTGGGGGGGATGTCGAGGGTATGGGGGGTGTGGGGGGTGTGGGGACA